TGGCCAAAGGGGGGCGCTATAGCAACCGATTGAAATTGCAGTCTTTGAATGGGCATATCTCATGCCCCATATGTGGTAGAGACATGAAACTTTGCACAGAGATGCCTCTCCTCATGAGGAACACATTTGCCTCAAGAACCCATAACTTCCGCTTATATAGATTTTCCGCCATTTTGAATTTTTTGAAAAACACTTCAAATGGATCTCTTCCTAGGAAGTTTGAGCGATTTGCATGAAACTGGGTGAACATAATCTAGGGACCAATATCTAAAGTTCCCTCTTGGCAAAAGTTGGAAAACTTACTAAAACTGAGCTTCTATAAGGCAATGAATATTGCGGAGGGTGTGGCTCATCACATAAAGGTGTATAACATCTCAAGGGTTTCACCCATCACCACGCAACTTTGTAGGCATATGACCACACATAATCTGAGGGGACCCCTCCATTATTGACCCCATCAAACAAAATGGGGGCGCTAGAGAGCTCATTTCTTATCTAGGCCTAACCGCCATATGGATTTTTACTAAACTTGGTAGATATGTAGAACAGGACGCCTCAAGGTGACTGGAGAAATTTAACTCTAATTGGCAACTGGGTGGCGCTATAACAACAGAAAAATGCTTCAAAATGGCTAAAATGCGACCGATCACTGTGGCTCCCCCTGTGGACCAATGTTGGTGTTTTTTCTTTTTTCTTTTCTAATTTTTGGTATGACTAAGTCATGGTATGGTATGCTGTACATAATCATGGAAACTGTCAGTGTGTCATTCTGTCAGTCAGTCATTCTGTCTGTCCCACGTTTTTCTACTCACTGACGTGGTCAATCTATGTGAAACTGCACATAGGCATTTAGGACTGGCATAGGTAGAAGGTGACAAAGCTACCAATGGGTATGGACTAGTGATTGATGATCTTGAAGAAGGCCTGAAGGCTGAAATGTCTGAAGCCCATATGGAGCCAGAGTGTGTGACACTTGTTTTCTATAATGAAGTCTACTGTGAGTGATCATCCCCTGGTTATAATTCTTGGTGTACGTTACTCAAACAATCAACGTGCTGACGACAGGAACGCCGTCCAGTGTACCAGTGAAAAGGCCCCTCAGTCTGTGCTGACTCTGAGACTTCTCCTCATGAGTTTAACCTCTGCGTAAGTGATAAACATGTCAAATAAGCTGGACCAGTCTGCTATAAATGGATGGTTTCATGAGCGAGTAAGTTTTTTTAGCCTGTTAAATTACATTTATTTGCCATTTGAATGTGTTTTATTCCTTTTAAGTCTGTCATCATCTAATGATGTTGCTCTATGTGGGGATTCATGCTGATATGTGTGCATATGAAAGGTTTAAGATCATGTTACTGTTTACTGGCAATTCAGTGACAGTGCTTCACAGGCGATGTTGCGGAGTAATGCCAAAGTAATGAACGGGGTATGTATGTTACAGGGAGTACGTAAATTAAGTCATGACATTACTTTTCTTGAGTGACGATCCCAACCCCTGTTACTCACTGTCACATCCTGAAATCACTACTCACCCCCATAATCAGTACAACATCCATCCTTCTGAGATTTCTTTGTAGAGAAACAGACAGGGATCAGACAGCTGGAACCAGAGGGACAATATGGTTAATAAAGTACGAACATATGAAATCACATAAATACAAAGGATTGAATCTCTCAGATAAATGTGCCACTGAGCAAGGCATCTTCAGTAGATCTGCTCAGAGCCCACGAGGTCACAGATCAGAAACGTTTCCTCCTGAAGATAAAGAGTTAAACATCACAGACTTCTTTCTCCCTCTCCATCGCTCGCACTCAGAGTGTAAATGGGTTTTTATTCAATTGCAGCATTTCCCATAGTGCCTTTCACTTGTTTTATAAGTTGGGTGTATGTACGCAGCGTTGAGAGGCAATCCGGTTTGGGACTCGCTGCTGATTGCTGCTCGTGTCGTCCAGACGCATTATCTCCATTCATCCTCTGCTGCTCTGCATCCCCCCAAAAAGTCTCTTTGGGATCCAACAATGAAATCCCTCTTTCATGGGCGGCGGGCGGAGGTAATAGATTCACTCTCTGCTTCCTCTCGGGGAGGCAAGAAAATCCAACATGGCAGCAGCTCCTGCGGCGAGGGCCACGTCCCTCAGCGCTCTGTCACCCTTCAGATATCATCCCCACCCCAGTCGCAGCCTGAAAGCCCTTTTTCTCCTCTGCCGCCGCTCCGACAAATTTGATTTAGCAGCTCGCGGTCGCCCATTCCCGGGGAAAGAAAACAAATATTGTTATAATGGTAATAACATCTATTTGGGAGCGCCGGCAACAAACGGTGGCGGAGCCCTTTTGAAGGAGACCCCTCTGCGCTGCCGTATATAGCTGCCTTATTCTTATTCATGAAAGCCGCGGTTATGCATATTAGTGCAAACTAGCTATTCTACTCACCGGCATTTGGTGTGTCAATCATCCTTACAGAATACAAGAGCCAACGGTGACAAAAGCGGAGTGGGCAAGATCGGCTGACAAATTGTCCCCAAAGTCAAATTTGACAGCCTTTTATGATTAATGGGCTTGATTATGGAGAAGTATCTCCCCGAACTCATTTCCGGGTGTTTCTCCAACGTATGAAGAGGAGGAGGAGGAGGAGGAGGAAGGCAGATTGTTTGCGGAGGTGAATGAGTGGAGGAGAAAAGAAAAGAAAAAAGGGAGGGAAGGTTGGATTGAATTAGCGGTGAAAAGGCAGAGTGAGGAGGACAGATGGAGTGTGAGGTCTCACACTTAATAAACAGCAGGAAGATAAGAGATCAACTGACACTGCGCTCTCTGTTAGTGTTCACTGTTAATAAGAACCAACAGACTGAAGCTGAAGATCACTGAGAGGTCGCACTGTTTCACCAGCAGTGAATCAAAGTTAGCATCAGATGTTTGGTCAGATTTATCATCTTGTTTTCTGGTTTTTATTTTAGTCTTTAAAACCTCATTTTCTTAAAACAAGCATTGTTTCCAAAAGTGACAAATTTCCTGCGCACTGTTTAACTGCTGCAGGTTGTATATGATAACCTTTTACCTTTATCAGGTGTTGAACAAGCAAAACGAGTTTTAATGCATTGGTTCCCACAGAGTCCAGTGTTCTCCTCAGTCATCAGTTCATGGTCCAAAGAATTAAATACATTCAGCATCATACTTGTGTTTGGCCACATCGTCGAGCTAGTCTGCTGTCTGTTAGTCACTCACTCTGCAGCAGGAAACTGCTCTTTAAAATAAAAGCTCTGTGCCAGAAATTCACTGTACTTAAAAATAAAGTTTGTTTTTGACAAACTTGAGATATTCATGACCCACTAGTTGGGAAACACTCTTTTAATATATACACATATTATCCAATCACTTCGCTCACCTGGTAGGGCTGGGTATCAGTACCGTTAAAGCATCTACCAAAAAAACACAGTACAAGAAGTATCAAAACTTCTCCAGTCAAATGATACCTGCGTTTGATCCTATTTGTACCTAAATCTAGAAAAAAAAGACTATTTGTATGATTTTGTTTGTAGCCAATCACTGCAGTTAATCTGACGTGTGATTGGGCCACTACCTCAGCAGCTACAACCCAAACAGACTGTGGTGTAGTGAAGTTGAGTGTGGTGTGTCTGACAGAGCTGGCAGTAAAGCATGCTGAGATGCCACCAAAAGTAGTAGTGAATGTTTCAATTGACATGATGGGTTTCAAATGAAGTACAAATCAAAGGTATTTAACAAAGTACTCTTTAAGGGTACTGTTATCGTAATATTGAAGCCCAACTCAACATCAACTGGTGATAAAACGCTTTAAACACACACTCGAAATGAAAGAATAAGACAAATCTATTGTTTAAAATTCTGTTTAAGACTATCACACTGTCAAAGTGTAATGAGACAACAGGTAAATAGGGACTTAAATACTAATATTCATTATAAATTTTTGGAAAAGTATCATGTAAACCACATCAATGTAAGAACCCAGACTGTCTGAAAGTCACAGAATTATAAAAAAAATAACAGAGTTTGTTTGTATCTTGACATTATTGGACAGCTGCTTGAACTTTGGCTACTTCTGTTCAATTAAAAAAGGGCTTTATATAAAGTTAATGTGTTGGTACCAAAACGCAGATACCTTGATTTGCTGGTTAATAGAATATTCCTGGTAGATCTGAGGAGGCTCAAGGATTTAATTAACTGTAATTAACCTCAACTAAAAAAAATGAAATGAGTTTCAAGGAAAGATCCTGAAGTTTCAAAGAAGTTTCAAGGCTTGATTGAAAAGTACAAATATATTGAGGTTGAATATTTCTCTGAACCAACCAATAACAAGACACAAGAAAATAACACTGAAAGAAATCTATTTTTATTATTTTTCCTGCTTTTTTCCCCCAGTTTTTATTCTTTTTTAAGGTGTGACTAAAATATGATTTCTTCCCAGAACGTTGAGGCTCATTAATACAAAATTTAAGGTGGAAATTTGAATTGAGGGTGGTCAGTAATTTCCTTAGTTACCAACATGACCATTAAAGTGATTTTAAAAATACTATAAATTGCCTCACTGTGAGGATACCCTGAGAGCAGTAACAAGTAACTTTAAATTATAGGATTTTATTTTATTTAAATGTATAATCTTTTCTTGTTTTTTGGTATTTGGGTTTCATGTTTCTGTTTCTAATATTATTTAAATTATATATACAATTACATTAATTTCTCTAGAATTGTTCAGGATGTGACGACTCACTGTTTCGTTAATGAAAATGTTCAGAAAAAAAACACGCGTACTCTTGAGCAAGGCATCACCTCCTGCCTACAGCAGGTGGAGCTGCTCGTGGTCACTCTGCTAGATATTAACTAAATTCAATGACAACCTGTCGGATGTTTATAACTCTGATGTCAGTATGTGTGTGTGTCTGTGCTACTCAGTTTGTTGGTGTGTGTGCCGGTTTGAATTCGTCTCTGTCGTCCTCACCGCCGCTCTCTGTCTGTGATCCTCCCGCAGCCTTGAACGAGCCCACCATCGACTACGGCTTCCAGAGGCTACAGAAGGTCATCCCTCGCCACCCCGGGGACCCCGAGAGGTTACCTAAGGTCAGTGGAGAAGAGTCATTAAGTCACTGCTGCATGCTCAGGTCAGAGGTCAGAGGTCACATTCAAGGCCAGTGGGTGAGCTTGGTTTCGTCTGGCAGGTACTTCCCAGAATGCACCTGTCGGTCAGAGCTGCAGTTTGGTTGTTTAATCAGGTTTTACAGCCACATTAAAGGCTGATTTAAATCTGAAGTGGCTGTTTGTCCCTCTGTGGACGCCGTAGACCACCTGCACTGCATGACTTTAAGGTTTCTTGTATTATTTAATGCAGCTCAGGACCAAGTTGCCTGATTGGATTTGTCGGTTCTGCTCGGTACGCTCTTTGGCACCGCCGGCTCTCCTCGCTGCCAGCGGGCAGATTGTTCCCTTCAAACAGGAAACAGCTGTTTATGGGAGCAAATCCTGCCGCTGCTGCTCTCGCTGCGTTTTGTTTCCCCCTTGACTGGCGAGGAGGAAGGTTTGGACGGCGGTGAGTCGCTGGCTGAGACACAGAGAGGGAAGCCATGATGTTAGAGTGTGACCTGATGAAGGTGTCAGGGTGGTGCAGGCGATGAGAGCTGATTGGTTCATCAGTGTTTCACTTCCCGGACAGACTCATGAAAACCAGCGGAGGAATGTAACTAAGTTTGTTAAGCATTGCACTTCAGTACAAATATAAGGTATTTGCACTCTGCTTGAGTATTTTCTTCTCATGCCACTTTATACTTCTACTTCGCTACATTTACCTGACAATTTTACATCACAGATTAAGATTTTAGCAAACAAAAAATGAGGAGAGTTTATAAAATAGGATGTTTTGAAATAAATTAAACCACCCAACACTCTGTATTAGCACAGCTGAAACAATCAGTCATTTAATTAATTAGTAAAATCACAGAAAATTAACGTAAAACTGTTTTGATGGTTAAGGTCATTTTACATTTCATGGTTCCAGCTTCACAAATGTGAAGATTTGCTGCTTTTTCCTTTTAATATTGCTAATAACTGTAATATATTAGTAATAATTTTGAGGTTTGGACTGTTGGTTGGACAAAACAAACACAGTGAAGGTGTCACTTTGGGCTCTGAGTCATTGTGACGAAATAATCAGTCGATTAATGGAGACAATAATCATCAGATGGATCCATAATGAAAATAACCATTAGTAGTTCAAAATGAGCTCCACCTCAACCAATCCTGCTTTTACATTAATGCATGAGTCACAATCATCTAGTGATGTCATATATAATGGTATAACAGTCATAGGGTACATTTTTATTTTACTGGTTATACTTTTTACTGGAATAACATTTTCCCCTTTTAAGGTTTTTGGAGGGTTTTCCTCATCAGCTGTGAGGGTCCAGGGACAAAGGGATGTCGTTGCTGTAAAGCCCTCTGAGGCAAATTGTGATTTGTGATATTGGGCTTTAGAAATGAAATAGAGATTGAATTGAATGCAGGACTTTTACTTGTAACAGAGTATTTTAAAGAATAGTTCACCCCAAAATCAAACATACATATTTGTTCTTTTACCTGTAGTGCTGTTTATCAGTCTAGATAGTTTGGTGTGAGTTGCCTAGTGCTGGAGATATCGGCTGTAGAGATGTCTGTCTTCTCTCTAATACAATGGAAGTAGATGCCACTCAGCTTGTGGTGCTCAAAGCACCAAAAAATACATTTTAAAAACTCACAGCAATGTCTCTTTCCAGAAATCATGACTTGGTTACTCAAGATAATCCACAGACCTTGTTGTGAGCAGTTTCATGTAGGAACTATTTTCTTTCTACTGAACTACACCTGCCAACTGTATCACGACGCAGAAGGAACAGGGTTCCTGTAGTCATGGACAATCTGGAAAAGTCATGGAATTAGTAAAGATCATAAGATCATTGAGAGTTTTGGAAAAGTCATTAAATTTTATTGTGTAATGAAATTGTTAGAGTAATCCTTCATGGATAACCTTCCATGTAATGTAACACATTGGCAAACTTATTTTCTGTAGCTGACGACGTAATTTTGAAACTTAACTCCTTATTGTCTCCCCACGTTCTGTCTCATCCTCCATGCATGCCTGCTAGCTGAAATTATGCTTGAAAAAAGTTTGAATCTTGTATGTGTGGAAAATGCAGAGCAACTAGGGCAAGAAATAAATAATTCAGGTCCTTAAAAAGTCATGGAAAGGTTTTGAAATTTTGTCCATAAAATATGTGGAAACACTGAAGGAAGCATCATGGACAAGAGGCTCGTTCTCATGACAGTACGAGATTTAAACATTAGTAATGTCCATCTTGGCTGAGCTGTAACATTGGCCAGCACAGTGATGCTAGGTGAGCCAACAGTAGATGCACGCTTCCTTCTGCGCTGGCTTACAACAAGGAAAATGAATATTACATTGCAAAACTATTTTGATCTTTAGTTTACGTTTAAAGGTTTTCAAACAAGAATGTGGATATTTTTTCCGTAATTTTTTGTTTTGTTTTCACAGTGAACTAAATATTTTGAGTTAGGACTGTTGGTTGAACAAAATCAGATATTTAAAGTAAGGTTGCAGCAATATTCCAGTTTCAAGTCTTACCGTGATGTGAAAGTTGACAGTTATCGTACAGTGCACATTAGCTTATTTACAATATTGAAAGAAATGCAACTGGACGGAGAGTTTCACCTTAATTTTAGTTCTTTTCAAAGGGGAGAATCTTTACACATGCTGCCATTAAAAAATGGTTTCAGGTTTCAATTATAGTAATAAAACATTTGTAAAAGAAAACCCTTCCATTTTCATTCCTGACAGTAACAATAATTCTGTGATACCACAATACAGTGAGACAGTTACTATACCCTGAAAGTCTCATACTTTGTGACCCTATTTGAAGATATTTATGTTTTTTAAGGGAAAAAAGTCAGACTTTTTTTAAACAATTTTGGCAAAAAGTATTTGTCAAATGATTCGATAATGAAAATAATCATTTGTTGAAGCAGATGGATCAATTTTGTGTTGGTATGTTCATGATAACAACTTAATGTGAAGCAGGTTTTCAGTCTCTGCAGGTGGACTTTTTTATCTGTAGTGAAATGAAATGAAACCAGCTGCCTGAAAGCAGAGAAAAGCACATTTAAAAATCTATTAAACAACAGCAGGCTTTACAAACAGTGAAGAAAAGTGCCTTTGATTTAAAGTTAATGGTGTAAAAAACACAGGAAGCTCCTTTAAGATTTGTGTAGGAAAACATCAGTAGTGAAATCTGCCTGGTTTCAATATTTACCCACAGAAAGACATTAGTATGCACTCACACACACAGATACACACACACACACACACACACCTGCCCTGGTTAGTATGAAGAGATTATTTTGGCTGCTGCCGGCTGCGAGGCTAACTGAGGCAGATTCTTTGAGGCAGCGAGCGGCGGCGGCGAGCAGCAAGCGTCAGATGGGCTCTGACACTCGAAAGCAGCTGCCAAATTGAAACCATTTATCAAAATCTGACAACGGAGATCCAGTCACCAAAAAAGCAGTTTATTTGTAAATTGATACTAATAGTGAGCATACATTGTCTGGCCCCTTTGATGGCCTGATTTGCAGCCAGAGTGGAACGTCAAACACCCTCCACCCTCCTCTCCACCCTTTTAAATATTTATTTATTCAAAAGAAAACTCAATAAGACCACAGGTTTTTTCCTCCCAGACGTTTTTGGACATGAGAGAAAATCACAGCGATGCAGCGAGCTGTTGGCTCGCAGCCGGCGAGGCGACAGGATGCCGTGTTTTAGCGACGGGGATCATGTGACCGGGAAAGCGACGGGTTAACTCAGCTTGTCACTTCTCTTTTGTTTTCACCTGCCACCACTCTGTGGAGGACAGGAGGAGGAATGGAGAGAGATGTTTGGATGGCGAGGTTTTTTGTTCTTTAGACAGGCGGTGCAACACAGAACAGATTGATTCGTTGTAGGGCGTCAGGTGGTGCATTATGGGTGCAGTGTGGAGTGATTGTTCACCTAAACAAGAATGGTGAATATGGAAACCAGGAGGCAAAAAAAAACACAGCTGATTTTGTCTGAAAGATGAGAAACTGCTCTGGAGTTACCTCAAAGATAGGGTTAGCTTAGCTTAGCACAAAGGCTGGAAGCAGGCAGAACCTGTTAGCATAGCTCCATCAAATTCACATCCAAGTCTCTCTGATGTTGGCGCTAACAAGCCACCTTGTATCAGCTGGGTTTGTTGACCAAAGCCAAGGGTCAAGACAGAGAAGCTGAACCTTTATCTCAAATGAATTTAGCCTAGCTTAGCACAAAGACTAGAGGCAGGGGGAAACTGTTAGCCTAGCTCCATCAGAAGAGCAAAAAAACACCTTTAAACAACTCAAGGTTTGTCTGAGCTAATGAACATGTTTCTCTTAAGCTAACGATTTCCAATACATTTACATTTTTGTTTCCACACCTGATCAATAACATCAAACCACCTGTGAATCAGACAGGACTGGAGATGCTAACATGCTAACAGTGAGCAGGAGTAGCAGTGAGCCTTGCAGGTCGTTTCTGGCTGCATGAGTCCTCTCTGAGGCTACTGGACGGACGCTGAGGTGTCCGCTTGCAGCTGAGCCAGACTGGAAATGAAATTAGAGGGCTGAACCTGATCCAGGAGAAACCCCAGAGGTCATCAGTGACCAGTTGGTCTCACAGCCTGTCAAACTGCCTGTTAGCTGCCTGTCTGTCTCAACTGTGGACAGACAGACATTAAACATTAGTTATAAATACTTGAAACGAATGACTAAAATATCCCTTTATTTGTAATGTAAAGGTGTGTAGCAATATTTGGAGCTTTACTTTGCTATTTGAATTATTTCACGAGCACCTTAATCTGGTTAATTTTAGGGTATAAAGAGTTTCTGTTCAGTTAATATAACGATGGAGAGTGTTTGATGGCTTTACTTCTGTCTGCTGCAAAGATAATATAAAACTATGCTCCCTTAATTATCTGAAGATATTGCCTCCAATGCCCCTTAATTTTAAGATGAGGGTCTTCTTAAAA